CGCCCCCGCCCGCCCCTCCTGGGGGAAGTGCCTCCGAGGAGCCATGCTTCCGGTCGGAACCCCCCACCTCTCTCTCTCTCTCTAACACTCCCTTGTCTCTCGCTCCTCTGAGGGATTTCGATCAGTTTGTGTTCAGAGGGTAGTGTGGCGCGGGGCGCGGTTCTCCTCGAGGGGCCCGCGGGGGCCGCTTGCTCTGCCCAAGACAAGTGGGCTGATTACCCAGCCGCCCCGCTCTAAATCGCCCCCTTTAATTCGCTTTGCTCGGCGAGTCTTTGTGCGCGCCGCTCCTTCTCGTAGTCACTCTCCCGATGTTTGTTGTGTTCCCTCTCTCAGGGACAGTGACAGTACACGCCAAACAGTTCTGAAGTTTGGGACGATACGCTCGAGTTCTCGAACATTATATGTTTTGGACGCGTTTGTTCATAACTGTCTATGATTCTGCTGCTTCGAAACGTGCGTGTGTACCGAACATAATGCACGAGGGCTTACCTGCCTCAAAGTGCAGCAAATTACAACAGCATGCGGCACTGTCAAAGGAAGGTTTAAACAAAATGTCTTAAAAGTCATATCAACAATTTTCCTGTCCATGATCTGAGTTTCTCATCTCAACTAGTTTAAACTCTCTACAAATGCTTCGATGCCACCTTTGAGAAAAAATTTTTAAAGTGCTCTGGGCGAGTGGCTCGTTTGACTCCCTGTAGCCCCTGTAACCGAACGGGTAGGCAACCCGCTTGCATGCTTCTGCTCGCTGCAGTATAACCGAATGGTGCACGGGGCTCTTTATGTCGGTTTATAATTATGAAAATATTTAACGTAAAACTTTCACTTGGGATTCAATTTCTATGTCGCCCAAAAATACTAAAATTCACTGATGAATAAAAAAAATTACAAACCCAACTCTGAACTCTGTATGAGCTAGAATCGGCAAGAATCTTACGGAAAGTTTCCCCTCGTGATTTATAGGGTATAAAACCCTTCGGGGGTTTATTCTTCTCTTGTTTATGTTGGTGATGCTATGACCTCTGCTTTCCCCCTTTTTTTTCGCTTTTAAAAAGAGTGAAGTTAAACAATAAGCCGCAATATGGCAGTGGCCAAAAGCACATTTTAAATCCGCGGTGTTCAGCAGGTAGGCGACAAAGTCGCCTGACCAGCAAACTAGGCGACCTATGTCTCCTATCTGCTGGTCACCTTCTGGTCTTCCGGGTAATTACATGGGCACAATGGGTGGAATGCCTATGGACTCATATACAATGCAATCGCCCGGAAGACTAGGAAGTGTAGAGTAGATAGGCGACATAAGTCGCCTAGTTTTGCGGGTCAGGTGACTTTGTCGCCAACCTGCTGGACACCCCGGATTTACAGTGTATCCGCTCGCCTCCTCGCTCGCCTTCCCCCTCACCTCCCCCCTCTCAGAGAAGCCAACCTCCCTCCACACCTCGTCTGTCTTTGACGCTCGGGATATTGCTGGGCCGGCCAGGCTGGCTACGGCCGCGGCATTATCAACGAAAAACAGAACGGAAAGGATGTGCTGCGGCCCAACTCGCCACGCCACGCCATGCCACTGCCACACCTGCCCGACCCACGCCACCGCTCCCCCAGCCCCGGGTACGACCTCTTCACCTCACCAGCTGCAGTCCGCCTCTCTCTCTGTGTCTCCCCCTCCCTCCTCCCTCCCTCCTCCCTCCCTGTCTCCCTCTCCCTCCCCCCCCTCTTCCTGTGCCTCTCTGCCCTCTCTCTAGCCGTTCCTCCCACACCCCCTCGCTCTCTCCCAGTATGGATCGAATCGTGGGCTCGTGACCGCATTTACGTTACCTGTGTATCCGGGAAGCTTCGGGGCCTGGGCAGCTCGTTGGTAAACTGGGGGCGGGCCGGGGGCGGGCCGCTCTCGCTCTCTGGCTCCGCTGCCCGCCCGTCCGCCGCCCCTGGCCGCCACGGTCTCGGTCAGTGAATGACGGCGTAAAGGGAGACCCATATTGTGGACGGGAGTAGAACAGCAGAGCAGGCGGAGTTGAGCAGAAGAGGGGGCTCGCTCTGGGCGTGCTTCCCGTCGAGCTGCCCGACACACTGTCGGGCAGGAAGGAAACCATTCGGCACAGGATAGTGCACCTTCGCGGTTCTTTCAGTGTGTTGACTGTCGCACCCCCTGCGCACAATGCTTGCGATCCTTTCGAAAGCAGAAACAAAATTGGGCCACCGCCCCAGCCTACCAGAAGTGACATTTCGTTTTCTTTATACGATCACTTTTTCGTTTGACGTGCTCCCCAGAATAATTCATTTGAGAAGCGGTCCGCTTGTTTATGACCCCCGCTGCGTGCGCTTTACTGCAAGGGGTGCCGGGCGGGCCGGCCGGGGCAGGGCCAGAGCGGCGCGGAGCGGCCCCGCCGAGACGTCCACGGGCAACATTGAAAGACGCATTAGCATGGATGGCGTCCGGTCTGGGGTGGGCAGCGGGAGCGGGGCGAGGCCGGGCGGGGCGTTGCAGGGCGGGGTGGGCGGCACATAGAACTATCTCGTAAAACTCGGAATGGGCTGCCGCTGGGAGAGGGTGAGCCGCCCCGCCGCCCGGCCCGGCCGGCGTGGCCTGGCCGGCCGCCTGGCTAATTGCTGCTAGCCTGCTCATACTCTTCCCTAATTGTCCCGGAGCCCCGCCCGGCCCCGGCGTGGCCTGCAGCCCCCCGCCGCCCCGGCCCGCCCCGCCCTGCTTCGCCCTGCCCCTCTGTCCCCCCCTGGGGGCCGCCCGAGGCACTTGGCGAGAGGGCCGAGGAATATACTGTTATTGGCAGCAGCCGCGGAGTGGAGAGAGAAAGCGGCGGGGTAGAGAGACAAAACTGTGCACATTAAAAGGTCTTGCCGCAGTTATTTTTGCTACGGTTATTTTGACAATGTTAATAATGTTTTGTATAATTTTTTCAATCCCCTTTGTTGTTCTTGATGTGTCAATTTTCCCAGTTTGATTTGTCCCTAAACCACATTGTCACGTCGATTCTTTTTTTTTTTTTTTCTTTTTCGGCGCAGTCCGTATACGTGACCATTGCAAGAACGAGGGCGACAAACGAGTTCCGACTGTTCGTTTACCGAGGACAGCACACAACGACTGCCCCTACCCCCTCCTCCCCCGCGCATCACAAACGCCCTATCTATATAAAAGCCGCCACACCGCACAACAAATTCTCGCCCAAATCGTCGGTCGTCGGGCCTGTCGATTCCGTCTTGTTTTATATTCTCCCAGCCCCACGCGCGTGTAAAATACTCATCTCTCCCTCTCACCCTCTCTCTCACTCTCCCTCTCTCTCCACCCCCCGCTGCTCTGGATGAATAGATGGCCACGCCACGCCGCGCGATGATTCGACGCCATCCCGTCGTCCGACGAGAAATGGTCGTCATTGCCGGCCTCCTGGGTCCCCGCGGCCCCCGGCGGCGACACGACCGCTTAGTTTCACGCCGTGCCACAAATATATCGCAGCCATATCCGCGTCGTTGCCAAGACTCTTCCGCGGGAGTCCTCGACGCCGCGGCCGCGCACACAGCGTGCTTTTAGGCCTGTAGAGCTGCGGGGGAGGGGGCGGGGTGGGATCATATCGGAGGGTGAGGTGAGCGTGGAGGGGATTCTCTTCTTTGGCCTACACTTGAGCTCCTCCCCCTGCCATCACTACC